CACAGGAAACCACAAAACTGTGATGGATGTCTAGATACATAATAACTCCAATGGGAATTACAGGGATTCAGTCTGACTGGAAATAAGTCCAGCTTAAAGCCTACTTAGGACAATGTCAGGGTGATATTGGACGAAGGCCAAAGACAGCTGTACATGGACTGACAGTGGCTTCTCTGAGCGTCCAAGAAGTGCAGCACATGGCTAGCTGGCTACTCTTCATGCTAGGCTAATGGCTATTGGCTAACCCCAAGAGACTGGCTTTTCCTTCTACTCTCTTTTCCCCGTTAACTCAGTAAAATCTAATGACGCCCCTTTGACAATAAACTGGACTGACCTCAGGCTGCAGCTCACTATATGAGAGGTGAGGGAATCAGCATGTTTTACACTGTGCGCCATGTTATCTCGTATAGCGGTATAACGGGAACGAATGTCAACCAGTATACCAGATGAACAGATATCACCCACTACTACTACTTCATTTTAAAAAGTAACAAAAAAAAGACTCAAAACCAGATGGTCTGGATTTATGTATTTGATTATAACTGTGCCCAGTTTGAAGAATAACTGAAAACTTTTCACCTTTTCTTCTATTTCACATTATGTAAACATCTAACACCTTTCATCAATTTATCACTCGACTGCCTGTTCATCAACTACCGCTTCCACACTTCACTCAAAGTGCTCCAGAGCGTCTCACCCACTTTTTGAACAAGGCAAAAACTTTTGCATTTCCACACCCAGCCAAACTCAGCCCTCGGCCCTCAGTACAAGCACGAAATACACGCTAATAACAAGCACAGGGCAGCGCAGGTTCTCTGACTTAAACCACATAAAACACAGCTCATAAAATCATCTCCGGTCTATCTTCCAGGATCTCGAAGTCGGCTTGCTTCAGGAGGTTTCCTGGTAGAGTTTTTTACAGGTTAATAAGTGATTTTGGCCGAACAACGCAAAGTCTGTTTTGGCAATAACCCCTGACTAAAGGGGGATTGGGAAAAAACGAAGGTGTGCTGACCGGCAAGAGACGTCAACAGAAGTGAAAACTTCCCAAAACCTACCATAGCGTGTCCTTACATCTGGCACCTCTGCCAAAGTGTACAGAGGATGAAGTCTGGAGATGCACACAAGCCATATAAAAACAACTGGAGTGTATTGTGAATTCTGAAGGGACTCTGCAGAGGCTCGGATCAAAGCGCTGGAGATTCCAAAGAAACGTAGAGTGAGCAAAACGTAGTGCTGCAATAGGCTTGTGCAACAACTGCAGAGGTACTGAGAGTCTACAGGGAACACTGGGAAAGAGAGGGCGCTCAGAAACGTGCTTGGAAAAACACCAGAGATGTGCATTCTGACAAGTCTTGTCATTCAGGTGTCTGTAAGAGTTAATGAAGAAATATTCGGAAGAAAAATCATGGAAGAAAAAAGGAGATTATGGCTGATAATATCACAAAAAATAATGGCAACTTTACAGGAGAAAATCAAAAAACTTTTTTATTCCAAGTAATTTCAGAGCATTTCTATTGGCCCATTCACTATAAAACTTTCAGTAAATGTAAACGGCAGCTGCTTCGTTAAAATGAAAGTTAAAGTTTGAACACCTCCAGTCAAGTTAGAAGTTTTTTTTTTCATTTTCCAAGTGAAAAATATGACATTTCAAATTTCAGTTTAACATATTAGAAAAAAAAGAATATACATGGCTGCTCTCTGTCACGTCTTTTTCTGATTTTTTCTTTATAAATTATTTAAGAACATAACATAAAAAATACACAAATACACACACAGGGGGAAAAAAGAGAATGGCAGTGAACAAAGCGGTAGGAAAAGGGTTAAGATAACTGTTTTAAAGCTTGGATTACACCAAACAGAGTTTACAGTAGATTTGTTTGCTCTGTTAATCCCTGCAGTATTACATTCTAGACAGGCTATATTATAAACAGAAACAATCCAGAATTGTTTTAAATTGATATCAGGTACAAACCACAGCTGCAGTATGTTTTTCTTTGCAGCCTGTCATCGGTGGCCTCCTCTGAGTTAAAGAAAATCAGTAGCATGAATCATTACTTAACAGGAGTGAACAAGGATCTGCGTCAAGAGTTATTTTTGTGAGATTACTTAGCTCACGAACTAAACGCTTCCAAAGAGATAAAACAACCGGGCGAACATGTGAAGAAATGCACCTTTAGAGTGGTTCTTACAGCTAGGGTCTGACTCACGCTTCATTAAATACTGTTTATATGGTGTACAGTACAGTCTGTGAATAAGCCTGAAGTGAATGAGTACATGAGCTAGATTTTTTGAGGTGATGCAGAGATTAGACTGCATGATTTCCCACACAGGAAATCACATGTTTTGTTGATTTTTTAAAGCTGGGGTTACTCTACACGGCTGATTTTACCCCTGATTCTCAGTCTGGTTGAGTCTGAGCTGGTCGGCTCTTGTCTGCGGATTTCTGGCTCAGCTGGAGTCGACAGTTGGAGAGAGAGTCGAGTCGTGTCTGAGGGACGCAGATGCTGATTTTTGGCCTCCCGATCGTGTTTCGGACCAGTCGGAGTTTATCAAACAAGTTTGATTTTTTCAGCCTGACTCTGAGTGAAATCTAGTGTGAAACTGATCGACGACTCAATCTGAACGGATTCCTGCAACAACCAATAAAAACTGAGAGAGCCAAAGAAGAAAATACAGCAAGCAAACAAATAAAAATGGTGAAAGGTCACTCACGTGTGGATTGAAGCTGTTTAATGAGCTGAGTTTAAGGTAAAACCTCTAAAAATACCACTCTGATCACATTTTAAAATCCACGATCCTCACTTAAACATGTTTACCTGCTGCTTCTTTACCGTGTCAGCGCAAACGGCAGAGAAAACAGCAGCAGCTGCTCCATGTTTGTTTATTTGCATCTCCTAGTAATGTGAGAACGTGAGAGCTCGGTGAGTTCGCGGAGTTCGCGCGAGTTCAGCGAGCTCCATTCGGTTCAGCAACAGCTTAGAAGTTGAGTAGTGTGAGATCTCGAATTGTTTAGTGTGTGATCCCCAATATTTCAGTCGCCCCAAAAACCAGATAGTGTGAGATGGCCAGTCTTTATAAACTGTTCAGACAGTAAAAGTCGTGTAGTGAACCCAAAGCTTAGGTAAAACCTAATTAACACATCTTCTACAGAGACACACTGCACATTTTAAAGCACAATTACTGTTTATTTTACATGTTGGTGGGAAAATAAAAGATAAAATGTGGCCTGTGTAAAATTCAAGGCACATTTTATATTGTATGCACAAGTAATTAGACCAAGAGATCAAACTTTTGCATACATTTGCTATTTTCATCAAAGACGAATATAACTCAACTCTAATGCAGCAAACTGGTCTCTGCTGGAACGTGCTGCTTGCTTTTGTGAGTAACGTTAGCCGCTCTGAGAAGCGAAAGTGTGGCACTGCAATAACTAAAGCGCTGACACGGAACGAGTCCAAAGGGAGCAGCAATGAGAAAAACAGACTTTACCAGGTGCGAATCGGGAGCAGAGGAGGATTAACACCTTTCACAGGTGTTCACCGTCACCTACTCCACCACAGGACATGAGCCCCAAGGAGTCCGCTCTGGTTCTAGAGCTCGTGTTCCTGCTTCACACGCAAGAGACGCTGGATCAAATGTTTCAGGCCAAACTTACATGTGGAAATCTGTTTCACAGGACTGTGATCTGAATGATATTTCAATCTGATGTAATATGATAAAACTTTATTCGAGTTAATGTCGTTAGCAGGCATTGTTTTGCATTTACCGCAACAGCCACAAAGACCAAAACAAAAAACAGAACAAATTCCTTGTGATAAAAAAAGCCCAAACAAATTAAGTACAGACTCGAGAAGACCATCAAGTATTAATGACTGGCCTGTGGAATAACACTGAACAGCTTAGAAGCTGCAACAAATAGACCTCTTACAATTAGTTTTCACTTTGGCGCACCTCACATAATGGCCCAGAAACAAACGTTTAAAAGCGGCGAACAAAATACAAAAAGGACGCTGTATAACACGGCGCAAAACTCAGACACCGCCCGTCATTTATTTAAAGTCCAGTAGAAATTACTCCCTTTTTCAGGAGACATTTCTGAGGAGATTAGATACAAGATAATCCGCTTGCGTAAGGAAGGAGACAGACAAAGTGAAAAAAAAACAGGAGTTTCCAAAAACTGATTAAAAGCTTCAGAGAAAATGGGGCCCCTAACAACCACCTGGAAGACCTGGTCAACCCCAAAACTGCCCCCATCAGATAAACAGCCCTTAAAGCTTTCATCTCTGAGAGAGAGGAGAAAATCAAGCTGCTTCAGATCTGAAAACATCCACAGGTGTTTCTGTCCATCCTTCCACTGTGAGAAGACGACTCAGCGCTGTGGGTCTGAAAGGATGTGTAGCTGATCAAGAAGAACCTCACTGAGAAAAGGAGACGGACACATCAAACAAAGAAGCTGAACGATGGACTGACCGCCCCAGAGTCCAGACCTCAACACCACTGAATGTGTTTGATTACTTCAGAAAATGATCAACCAGCTTCTAAGACTGAACTTTGGAGGTGTGTCTGCAGATTCTTTGAGGAGCTGAAAGTGAGTCTCCTGAAAAGAATGGAGGCTGGAATGAAGGGAAAGAGTGACTCACTGAACACTTAATATGTTTTCTGCTTTTTTCCCCGACTTATTAGATTAATATCTCACACTTAATGGCTGTTTTGACTAGAAATTAAATAAATGAGAAGGTGGGTCTCCGACTTTTGCACAGTACTGTAATTTGATTGTTCCATAACGACTGTTATGAAGAGAAATGAGAAGTTTCAGAAGAGCTTGTGTTTCGTTTCTGGCCAAAGAAAAATGAGAAACCTCTTTTAAAGGGTAAGAATATCACAATAATATCTCGTGTAATGTGGATGTGGATGTGATGTGGACACAAGTCAGAGTTCCACAGTAGAAATGTGTCGGGAAGCTGCAGCGAGGCGATACGAGGAGAACTGAGGCCTACCTTATAGCGCATCTTGGGGCAGGAGTGGATGTAAAAGCCCAGGTAGTAGTAGGACAGTTTGGGCGACTGCTTCTGCAACTGCCTGGTGAAGGCGATTTCCCTAAAACAAGAAAGACCAGAAGAGCTTTGGTCAGTTTCACATGCAGGGGTGGCCAGTATGGTTAACAATACGGTATCTGAAGACGTTTTCTTCATACATGATATGTATAACGATATACTGTTTTTCTGAGGCTGGATAACTTGGAACAGACCATTCACAACTAAAATAGAGGTGCAATATCAAAAAAGTCCAGTGACCTCTTTACTCAGTGTTACTGTGCATCACTACATCATACGTTTTTACTGAACTGGGGAAACCTGATTTAGCTGCAGCACCAGTGAGCTGGAATTCACTAAAGGAGTCCCTAAAACTCGCTCACTGGTGTCACTCAGTCAATCAAACTTTTAGTTTCTAACCACCTTCAGACAGCCTGGAACTGTTTTAGTTGAGTTTAAACTTTTCTTTCTCTTATTTATTTATATATTTATATTTTACTTTAATATTTTATTTCAACTGTTGGTGTATTTGATGTTAATTCTTTTACTCTTCTATTTTAGTAAATCGCTGAATGAAACCTCATATCTCCACAATGGTAACTTTACAGGAGAAGGAAAAAACCTACTCTACTTTTAATGTAAGTCAATGGAACCAGACTTTTTTTCCCAAGTAATTTTGGGCCGTTTTTTTGGTCTGTTCATTATGAAATCTGCATATAATGTAAAGGGTAACAAGTATTTTCAAATTATGTCAGAAACTGAAAAACGACAAAAATGGAGATGAGAGGTTTTGTTCTGACAGCAGCGAAATAATTAGATTTTTCCAAAATTGTAGTTTTCTTGTTGCTTACTTTCTAATTTGGTTCTTTTACTTATATTTTATTGATATTGTATGCTTAGTTTCTATTTGAGCTGTTATTTTTTACATTTTTAATTTTTTTTTATATAAATCTTTTTTTGATGATTTTCATTTGTTTTAGTTGGTAAATTTTCTTTGAACTTTTTCAATCTCTGTGTAATTTGCTTGGCTACACTGTAAGTGAGTACTGAAACCAGTAGGTAGGGAATCAGAGGATGTTACAGAAACACCAAAACTAAAAAAAAGTATATTTTGAACCAAAATGACATTTCAAAGCCAAATGAAGTCTTTGGCCTGTATTAAAGTTACAGCACGTTTTATATTTAGATTCATTTTTTTACAATATGTTACATTTAGCAAATAAACAGAAACTGTGCACTAAAATTAGCAGAAAGAAGCCATATTTAAGTTTATTCCCTATAAGTTTGTTTCCTAAATAAACATAAATAAATACAAATCATTTAAAACCAATTCTGCGCTATGATACTCCGGCCTCGCACACACTTGAGGACACTTCATCTACACTACAGCTTTGAAGGGTCTACAAACCGGCCTGGAAAAACATTCAGGAAAACGCTGTATGAGTAAAACTGAGTTAGACCGGTTTATTTAACCAATTAACTAGAGTCCTGCACCTCTGAGTAGAACAGCACTGATAAACACGACCGTTCTCTGTGCTGTACTGTCCAGTCTCACAAACAGAGTGACATCTAGAAGAGTTACGGGTTTCTGGACGTCCTTTATTACATGCATTATGCCAGACCACGAGTACAGACTGGAGAACCACCGTGCTCCCCGCTCAGCCGCGCAGCTCAGGCAAGAGGAGAGGAAAAGGCAGAGAGGAAAAGGCAGAGAGGAAAAGGCAGAGAGGAAAAAGGCAGAGAGGAAAAGGCAGAGAGGAAAAAGGCAGAGAGGAAAAAGGCAGAGAGGAAAGAGCAGAGAGGAAAAGGCAGAGAGGAAAAAGGCAGAGAGGAAAAAGGCAGAGAGGAAAGTGCAGAGAGGAAAAAGGCAGAGAGGAAAGAGCAGAGAGGAAAAAGGCAGAGAGGAAAAAGGCAGAGAGGAAAAAGGCAGAGAGGAAAGAGCAGAGAGGAAAAAGGCAGAGAGGAAAAAGGCAGAGAGGAAAAGGCAGAGAGGAAAGAGCAGAGAGGAAAAAGGCAGAGAGGAAAAAGGCAGAGAGGAAAAAGGCAGAGAGGAAAGAGCAGAGAGGAAAAAGGCAGAGAGGAAAAGGCAGAGAGGAAAAAGGCAGAGAGGAAAAAGGCAGAGAGGAAAAGGCAGAGAGGAAAAAGGCAGAGAGGAAAAGGCAGAGAGGCAGAGAGGAAAAAGGCAGAGAGGAAAAGGCAGAGAGGAAAAGGCAGAGAGGAAAAAGGCAGAGAGGAAAAGGCAGAGAGGAAAAAGGCAGAGAGGAAAAGGCAGAGAGGAAAAGGCAGAGAGGAAAGAGCAGAGAGGAAAAGGCAGAGAGGAAAAAGGCAGAGAGGAAAAGGCAGAGAGGAAAAGGCAGAGGGAAATTTAAACATCATCCCAGACTGCACTCAACGAGCTCTCACCCTCTCTCTCCTGTCCCTTCTCCTCAATTGCAGCCCCCCCGGCCCACCCCCTTCATCACGCATTCTCCTCAACGTGCTTCACTTTTCCATAAATAAATTCTCTCCTTTCAGCCTCTCCTCTCTTTTGTGCTGCATTTCTTATTCTCACTAAAACACTCTTTCAGCCCTGCCCAAAATTAGGGGAGCGCTGCTTTATTTCCCCAGCGAGAAAGGAAAGAGGGAGTGTGAGAGAGTGAGGGAGAACAGGAGCCGAGATGAAAAGGAGAAAACAAAATAAAAATACCACGATATATATATATATATATATATATAATATATATATATATATATATATAATCCATTTTTAATCCTTTTCAGTTTTTGACATATTCTGAAAATACCTGTTACCCTTTACATTGTGTGTAAATTTCATGATGAATGGACTTTAAGAAACGGCCCAAAATGACTCGGAAAAAAGTCTGGTTCCATTGACTTACATTAAAAGTAAAGTAGGTTTTTTCCTTCTCCTGTAAAGTTACCATTTTGGACATACGAGGTGTTCTTATATGTGTGTGTGTGTGTGTGTGTGTGTGTGTATATATATACATATAAAAACATATAAAAATATTACAAAATTAAAACAGAAACGTGGCCTAAAGTTACGGCACATTTTATACTGTATGTTTATTCTGTTTGTACTGTTTCTGCAGAGGAAGTTTTAACTTCCTTTCATTTAGAAAATCAGCACATCATGTGACCTTCATTAACATCAGAATACATACAAATAACATTAATACAATAGGTGGTGATTTTATGTGTGTCAGTGTGTTTGTTCCTTCGAGGAAACCTGGTATTATTTATTTATAGTTTTCATCAAACGCCTGCTTTATCTAATCAATACTTCATTATGTTAAATCAGCTGCTGCTGATGGAATTTACTAAACCTATGTGATGTCTGGAGGAGAAATCTGGAACCAAACTGTGTTCTTAAAACTAGTCCACAAGACATCAATGACCTTTTTAAGTTACTTTTTAACGGTATTTATGTTTATTTGCATGTACTTTAATGAAATACTAGGATTTTACAAATAAATGCACAGTTACGGTCCAAACAAAGGGCTTTTAACAATGTGCTTAGATGTCTAAGACTTTATTAAAGTATATATATATATAATATATATTATATATATGGGTATATATATAACCCTACAGTGAATATTTGGCCTCACATTAAACACAAACTAGCTAGAAAGAGAGATAGAGAGAGCGAGAGAGCGAGAGAGCGAGAGAGCGAGGCAAAAATAAAACAGATATGGGAAATAAACTATGCCGGAGTGAAGGGAGGGGAGGGGGGGAATGGAGGGGAGGGGGGGGAGTGAGAAAAGAAAGAGAGAGCGGGGCGAGGAAAAGAGGAAGGGCAAACAGAGAGGTGCTGGAAGGTCAGGCGCTGGCTGCCAGGTTCCTGCGTTCCCAGCCTCTCCTGACAAAGCCTGCAGAGCCATGAATGAGGGCCGCCGATCAGGAGAGGCTCGGAGACCCATTCACAAAAACAGAGCGAGAGAGAGAGAAAGAAACTGCGGGGTCCCCCCTCTCAGACCCCCCCGGCCCCCCTCGCTCCGTTCTGGCAGCAGCTTGAAGCCCCCCATTATCTCCTCTTCAGCGAGCTGACACTCCAACACAAGCCAATTATGTCCCAGCGCCTCACTGCGGGCGAGGGAGCAGCTTCATACTAATGCACACGGGCACGCTCGCTCGCTCTAACTCTCTCTCTTTTTTCTCTCTATCTCACTCACTCTAACTCTTTTTTCTCTCTATCTCACTCACTCTAACTCTCTCTCTTTTTTCTCTCTATCTCACTCGCTCTAACTTTTTTCTCTCTCTCTCACTCGCTCTCTTTTTTCTCTCTCTCTCACTCGCTCTAACTCTCTCTCTCTCTTTTTTTCTCTGTCACTCACTCTCTCTCTCTCTTTTCTCTCTATCTCACTCTCTCTATCTCACTCACTCTAACTCTCTCTTTTTTCTCTCTATCTCACTCACTCTAACCCTCTTTTCTCTCTCTCACTCTTTTACTCTCTAACTCTCTCCCTCTCTATTTTTTCTCTATATATCTCTCTTTTCTCTGTATCTCACTCGCTCTAACTCTCTCTCCCTATCTCTTTTTTCTCTTAATCTTTTTTCTCTTTGACTCTCTCGCTCTCTCTCTCACTTGCTCTAACGGTTGCTCTCTCTCTCATTTTCTCTCTGTTTGCTTCCTCAATCCTTAATTCTCTCTCTTTCCCTCTTTTTCTCCCTCTAATTCTTTTGCTCTTTTCTTCTCTCTCTCTCTTTTTTCTCGCTCCTTTTCTTTCTCTAGCTCTATCTCTCGTGCTCCTTTTTGGTCGCTTCCTCAATCCTTAATTCTCTCTCTTTCTCTTGCTTGCTCAACCCTTAATTCTCTCTCAAGCACACCCTCTCTCTCTCTTTCTCTGACTCTCACTTTCTGTCTAGCTCTCTCCCTTTCTTTTCTCTCTCTCTCGCTCTAACTCATGCTCTCTCTCCTTTTTTCTGTCCTTTTTCTCACTCCTTTTCTTTCTCTTACTTGCTCAATCCTTAATTCTCTCTCTAGCTCACTCTCTCTTTCTCTTGCTCTCAGATTCTTCATTCTCGCTACCTCTCTCTGCCATTCTCTCTCTTTCTTCTCTCTCTCTCTCGCTCGCTCTAACTCTTTTGCTCTCTATCTCTCCTTTTTCCTCTCGCTCCTTTTCTCTTTCACTCACTCACTCTTTTCTCTTGTTTGCTCTCACTCCATCACAGTCTCTCTCTCTCTCTCTCTCTCTCTCTCTCTCTCTCTCTCTCACTCCTTGCTCTCTCTATCTCTCTCTCTCAGACTCTCACACACATTACAAAGATGACGATAGGCAGTTGTATGTAGAAGTTTAGGCGCCCCTGGTCAAATGTACATGTTGTTGTTGTTATTACTGTTTATTTACTGCATTTAACATTTTGGGAAAAAATCACAAAAAGTAGCAAAAAAAAAATTAAGGCACATGTAATATTTTATCATTTTTTAAATTATTTTTAAATTAATACTGTGCACCAAAATTCCCAGAAAAATACTATATTTGAGTTTGTCTCCTGTAGAAACACTTCTTTTCACTCAGAAAATCAGTGCTCAAACTGGACTGAAGTCTCAAAGGTTTGGAATCGATGTTTTCATTAATAAAAACCTATTTTGTTGCAGATACATGTGTGAAATGATTCTAATATGAACTGTAGTACTTTACAACTTTACAAGTTTCACCTTTAAATCCACCCTTTGAAATCTGCAAGCTTTTACCTGCAACACAAACTCACTAATCAATCACTTTCATCTGTGGCGTTGGCATGGAGACAACCAAGATGACGGATCGGCTGCGTCCCAACAACTAACGCAAACGACAAAAGGATGAGTTTGTCGTCTGCTTCGTCACGGATCACATCCACATCTCCAAAATCAGCTCCAACCGAGTTGTGGAGATCTGAGTTATACATGAAAACTCTGAAAGTTTGGCTCCTGAATGAAGCAGTGAAGCCCTCTGTGCTCATTTCGCTTTGCCTAAATGGAAAATAGCCCACATAATGTCATCGTTTCCCAATTTGTGAGGAGCAAAGGATGTATTTTTGTGCATTCAGCCCATCTGTTCGTGAATTTCCAAGAAAAACACAATCATGTCTTTTATTCACATCACGTTTGGCAGGCAAATCGCCTTAATGGGTAGAAAAGCTTAGAAAAACGATGAATAACTGACAATAAACAGATAATAACTTAGAAAGCCAAATAACATCAATAATGATATTTATAGTTATAACAGAATTAACATCCAGAAAGCTTCATATTTAAAAAGCGGTGATCAAATCTTGAGGCAGATAACTTGAAAGAACTACTAAAAATAATAATAATAAAATGTTTAATAACCTGTTCCATCTAAATTTCAAATACTGATCATGTTTACATGAATAAAATAATGTGGCGCCTGCAGAAAATCATATTTTGGCAGTAATTCATCCAACACTTAAAATGAATCTAATAATGGGAAAAGTATGAGTCACTACTTTTTTACTTTGTTATTGAATGACACTCCTTCTGATACTTGCTGGTTCTTCGATATGTTTTCATGTAAATGTGAAACAAACTAGATTTTCGTCTTCATAAGTGAGCAGCTCAACTTATAAAAGTGTGTTTGAATGCTGTGTGTTTATTGTGTCAGCTGTGCAGGACAGTTTGATATGAAGAAAGCTGCAAGTTGCCTGTTTTCTCTCTGCACAGCCGTCTTTGTGGAGAGGTGTGAACTGTTTTTCACAGCAGGGGGTTCTCACCCCTCTGCTTTCACCCCTTATTGCTCACTAGCAGCTCAACACTGAGTCACACCATTCACACACAGAGAGTCCGAGTTCATCTGATAACTTCATTAATAATTTCATTATGTTGCTTAAAAACATCAGAGTTTCTAAGTGCACACAATTATTGCATGCACTTACTAATCCGATAACTCTGAAAATCTGATTTTGTCAGTAATCTGATCAACACGTTTACATGCACTTGAGTAATCAGATAATGGGGAAACTCCGGGTCTGCATGAGTCAGACAGTTATTGGATTTCTGTTTTATAAGCAGCCAATAAACTCACAGAAGACGTGACATAAACGTAACATACAACTCGAACTTCATGCTGCCATTTTATCTGAAAATATGAAGATACATCTAGAAGATGAAGAATATTTAAATCCTTAATTTCGTCAAGCATGTATTTGGTTTCAACGTCGCTCCAAAAGCATTTTGCTGCGTCTCGCGGTGACGCTGCTCGCTTATTTCCGGTACCGCCGTCTGTTTTCACACATGCTCAGACTGAGAAATCCGAAAGAAATCAGAGTAAGAGTTTACAGCACTGAGAAATCTGATTACTGAGCTAAAATCCAGCCTCTTTACTGGATTTCCAGACCTTAATCTGATCTAAGAAATCAGAGTGTGCTGCTTACATGACCATTTAAATAATAAGAAAACTGCAGAAATCCGATTATGATCAGATTATTGGGTGCATGTAAACGAACTCTATTTCCGATCCGCCGGAGAAACGGCCACAAGGTGGTCAGCAGGAAGAGGTTAAATAGCATCACATCCTCTCCGCAGACTCATTTACACACTCGATCAATCTCTGTCTCCCAACTACACACTCGCACAAAGCAGCTGACCCATGTGGCCGACACCAGCTGCGCTGGGCACAACAGAGCTTCGGGCCCAGAATCCAGTTCTCCCTCTTAGAAGGCCTCCTCATCCTCCCTCCCTCTCTCTCTCTCTCTCTCTCTCTCTGCCTTTATGTCTCTCGCTGGAGCAACTGAGGCCTCCCTGCACAAACACACACATCTGCCATCTATAGTGAAGTATAAGCTAACATATAAGATTCATTTGAGCCCAGATGTGCACGGCCGGGAGACGCAGCTCTCTCTCCGTTGACATATAGGACACACAGCTTGTGGAGGCTTCAGTTACCTGAAATTCCTCCTCCAGATCAGAGCTATTTTCATTCCAACCCTGGGTAGAACATGGTTCGAAACATTCTGATGCTAAAACCACCACTTTATCCCAACCAATCAATACATAAATACATAAATAAACTGCCTGCTTTATGGCAGAACAACAAGAGCATGATTAAAAAATATTATTGTGCAAGAACTCTGTTAAAAGCTTCGCAGCAAGAAAACAAAAACACACTAAAAATGAGTTTTTCTAAACAACTTCTCACTTAAAGAGACAAGATAAAATACTGCTTGTATCTTTGGAATCACCATCTACAGCAGCTCAGTTTCATCTCAAAGTGTTTTCATTCCTCAAAAAATCAAAAACAGGGATGAGCGGCTCAGTCAAACCTGATATCTGATCCCCCATTTCAATAAAACCAGGATTCTTAAGGACACAGATGTGTCAGGTCACCAGACACAGCATTCAGTGTCTTACTGCTGCTGTACTAAATTAAACCCAGATCCAGGTTTCAGATCCACAGTAGATCAATTGTGGCCTGAAACTTACACCGAGAAAGGCAGGAGAGCTTTAATCAGGCCTGATGTTTTGGTCTGAATCCGAATACAGTCAGAGAATTTTCTGTCCGAACCTGATCCAAGCCCAATAAAATTCTGTCCAAACCCGACCCAAACAGGTCTATCATGTGCTGAATAGAACATGACAAGAACGCACCGGTTGCTGTGTGATGACAGGGATAAATACAATATAAAACAATATCAATATCAGCTATAAAAGCTGTATGAGCTATACGCTGTAAAAATAGTCGTCCAAAATTAAGTTTAAACAATTCATTTGTGAAAAAATGCTTTTGAACAGCATCTCAAATGTTTTTTAGTCTGGATAAACTGTCCATTCTGTGCTGTTCTCATGCCGGCTGAGGAAGCTTCACCTGTTTAATCATAAACCTCTATTTCTGCACATAGAACAGGCTATACAACATAATAAACACATAACGTCAAAATATTTTTGGCCAAAAGAATCAAAGGTTCTTTTGTCTGCACTAAATTGTTCTTTCCTGAATCAATTCACTGTTTACCCGTTTTCTCTGAAGCGACTGGGACTTGCAGACTCTGTGTTGAGTGGGTCGCTCCAGCATGCCAGATTAGAAACGATTTAAGGTGGTGAAAGTAGTGAAGAATAAAGTAAAGAGTTAAACTAAATCAGGAGGAAATGCAGATAAATCCTGTTAGAAGTGGGAGGCGGGCTGTGAGAACTCAAACATGAAACTTTAACCAGACAGATATTCGAGAAATGACATCTGAACCTGCCAGAAACCAACATGAGTAGTCTGGTCTCGTCAGGTTGGGACAAATATTTCATATCTGAAGTCTTTAAGACAATCAGCTGAATGCTAATGTGCTCAGCTGACGCTACAACTGGCCTCAAAGTGTTTCATCTACTACTAACATAGGTCATCTACTACTTTCTAGCTGGAAAACAGGTTTGTAAAGAGTTAGTTAGCCGATATTAAACGTGATAAGTTCAATTATTTAAAATGTTTTACATCTTTTTTTCATATAACAACACCAAACCCATACTACAACCACAAAGCATGGTGGAGGGTGTATAATGATGCTTTCCTCAATGCAATCACTTTTCAGTCACCAAAGAACCAATGAATTCTTCCTTATATTACAAAAATTCGACACAAAACATCAGGGCATCGTCAGCGATCTAAAACTCCGCACTGGTTGGAATGGGACACTCTGTTGCAGCCTGAGGTTGCAGGAGCTTAAGGTCACCAGGCCCAATGCCAAGTGTGGGCTAGAAGGGTCTAAAGCCCCCCAGCATTGGGCTGTGGAGCAGCGGAATTGTATTCTTTGGAGAAATGGTGCTCCATCCAGTACCTTTGGGATGAGTTTGTGATCCATAACTGACCATCCAACATCAGTGCCTGACCTCACTAACGCTCAATCAAATCCTCACAGCAATGTTCAGCATCTAGTGTAAAGCCTTCCCGGAAGAGTAGAGGCTGTTACCGCAGCAATCAGGCCTACAGATGAGTGAGACGTTCATAGGCAGGGATTATCAGCCCACCTGAGAGCAGAGTAGGAGCCCAGTGAGAGCGAGGCGAAGTCCGGGTGGTAGTAGAGGTAGACTGAGGAGACGCAGCTGGGCAGGATGTCGATGACCCCCACAGCAACTATGCGGCCGTCCAGCCAGTACTGCTGGTGGAAGGAGCCGTATCCTACATCAGGGCCATCAGGTGACGTCTCTGCCTGGAGAGAGAGAGAGAGAGAGAGAGAGAGAGAGAGAGAGAGAGAGAGAGAGAGATTAGAATTTCTACACATATACAAACATTCATGACGAATAAACACTGAAATGTAACCATCCATGGTTTCATCCTGAAGACCAGCAGATTTTGGCTGTGTGTTGTATGATGTGTGCATATCACATATAATCATATACACAATGGATGATCAGTCTAAGGCCCAATCCCAGTTCACCCCTCACTCCTACCACTTAGCCCTACTCCTCCATACTGCGTGTTCACGTCTGGGGGTAGGGTGTCCCGAATCTTGTTAAGATAGAGGGGTGAGGCGAAGTGTTGGGGCTACATGACCCTCCAAACGGAGGTTTTTCAGAGACTCAGAAACAGAGAGTTATGAGAAAAAAAGAAAAGCCGGGAAGATGGAGAACAAGAGACCAAAGAAACCCACAGATGTGAGAATTTTCTCCTTTAAATAATTACTATAACCACTGTAGTATCTTAGTTTAACGCTGTTTCAGTGTATTTTGGTCCTTCTCTTCAAAACAAGCATAAAAATCATTAGTAGTGCTGATGTCTCGGTAGCTGGCTAAATTTCCTGTTCCACTTCAAATGGGGCAGCAGTTGCATTCTGGTGCCTCAGACGTCAGAAGAAGCTGGTGAATATCTGACTTCAGTCAGATATCAATGAAGAATTAGTGATGGGTGATAATAAATAAATTCCCCCCTCTTTGAAGGCATATGATGCCCTAAATGTAAGTAAAGCCCAGCAGTGAGGAGCTGAACTTTACCCTCCTCTGCTGTCACTGCAGACTGGCAGGGTCGCCTACAGAGCAGCGCTGGTAGCTGTTAATGAAGTGATGCTCTTTTTATTTGAGGGTCCCATTTCAGAGGGAAGATTTCAACCACTACCCTCAAAAACAAGTGGTAGGAGTAAAAATAAGAAATAGGACTGGGCCTGAGTTTATTTATATAGCATATTTTACAACAAGCATCGTTACAAAGCAGCTTTACAGAAAATCTGGATCCCAATGAGCGTCGCCAAGGGTGGTAAGAAAAACTCCCTATAAGCAAGAGGAAGAACCAATGAGAGGAACCAGGACTGAAAAGAAAGAGGATCTCATCCTCCTCTGGACAACCCTAGATAGCAAACAATAACACAAGAAGAGAGATATGAACGGAAGATAAGCTTTCACAATAATACATAATATTGAATATAGATAAAAAAAAGAAACCAGCCTGTCATTGGACAGAAGTGTGCAGATTAAGCAATGATGACCGTTAGAGGCTGATCAGAGTAACACTGAGAAACAGGTCTATGAAAATCACTGTTACCAGTAAAAACCAGTAATTACTGTTAGAAGCGACTCACAGAGAACCATGAACGTCTGTGACTGTTAGAGCCTGTAATGATGATCTGTTGGTATGAATATGAGGAAAACTCAGTGCACTGTGAGGCAGCAGAAGCAAAGTCTAAGTAGTGGTTCAACTCCTCTGTGATTGTAGCCTCTCATTCTGGTTCTACAGCTCATGGATTCTTGTTACAGTGGAGGCTCTCAAGGGGAACTGGAGCTCCACCGAGCTGCTGCTTTTGTTAGTTTGCTGCTTGTTGAACTATCAATAGTTCTCCCTCAAGTACTGTCCAGCACAGTCTGATCAATTACTGATATTACTGGAATGGTCACATTAGTGCTGTGTTTTGCTTGTAAATTAAACTTCAGACACAATTTACTTAGTTTTTATCGAAAAAGCCATCAACAGAACGAGCCATAGAAAAGCTGTATTTGAACAAGAGGGCAACAGACACCATAGTCAGTCAGCAAAACACAAAACGAACCAAACCAAAACCAAACCAAAACCAAAACCAAACCAAAACCAAAACCAAACCAAAACCAAAACAAAAACAAACCAAAACAAAAACAAAAACAAACCAAAACCAAAACAAGCTTCAGGCTGGAACTACATTATTAAAGTAAATTAAACTGTAAAAACATACAAAAATTATCGTGTTATAAAAATTAGTAAGAAAACAAATGTAGAAAAAGACAAGATGGTCTTTTCAAATGGAATCTCAAAGGAAGGAAAACTAACTCCATGATCAGTAAAATCTCTTTATACTTCATATAAATTAGGTTACGTTCTGTCACAGAAAGACTGTCTCAGCCCACAAGAGGGCTACAGTCACCGTAGTCAGGTCAGCAAAACAAAACAAAACAAAATAAACCGAACAAAATAAAAATAAAAGCATACAACATACAATCAATGGGCTTCCGGTTGGAACTAAATCATTAAATTAAAACATTTTAAGAACATATAAAATTATTATTAAATTATCTGTTCTCTGTTACAATTATTTAAAATAACTAAAACAAAAGCTACTTTAATGATAATTCATTTTTTCGTCAGCAGTGTTACAGAAATACAAAGAAAACAATGTGGAAAAAGACAAGATGGACAAGATGGAGAAAACTCCAAGGAAATTTGATACATTTGGTTGAATTCTGTCAAAAAAGGATTGTCTCAGCAGTTTTACTCGTAAAACATTACTTAAATTTACATCTGGAACATAAGTTAACTCGTAAAAAAACCTTTAAACCTAAAGTTGCATTGAACTATATTTCATTTTTTACATTTTTATGTACAGATTTTAGTGATTTTATCAGTGGCGTTACAGTCAGTGGTGATAAAACTTTGTTATTGATGTTCTTCAATATACCAGGAACACAGTTCAGCCAATATGAGGCTTCCAGACTTGTATGTGAGATGCAGATGTGAAACATGCCCTGTGTGTTTGTAGAGCGCAGGAAAGAATGAATGTCCAGATAAGTTTAGAAGCTGCATATGTGCAGCACGAACACGGACTGTACAGTAGCCCTTGCTAATAGCTCCCAAATGTGGGCTCAGACCTTCTGCTTGTGCGTACTGGGCGTCTACTCGAGCCACACAGATGTGGGGGAGAGGCGTTTTAATAAAAGTCCCTGCATGAACAAAATCAATCTCCAAACTGAAAAGCGACAGGCAGGGGGTGTAATAGGACCCAGCTTTCTGGCTTACGTGTACTCAAATAGAGAGAGAGAAAGCGAGAGCAATCGAGACAGAGGTGGGGGGTGGGGGGGGTTGGGGGGGTGACACTGTATTTCTATCAGACACAAACAGTTTTCCTCTTTTGCGGTGACGCTGTTTGACATGAACGCTCACCATGTGTGCGATGTTTTCAGAATCCCACCAGCGTAAAAGCTCATTACCAGCTCAAGCCTTCACTCCGGGCTTTTTTAATCAACTGGCTTATTGGTGGGGGTGGGCTGGACTTCTCGCTCTGGTTTTACCCCTGTGACTTCAAACAGCCCAGCGGGTGGGGGCGGGTCGGCCCGCTGTGGTAACGGGATCTCCTCCGCGGCCCCTCGGCCCATCTGGGCCCGGTTAGCCCTGCTGGAACGCAGCTCGTTATCACGCCACCGGGGAGCCGGGCGGCTAATCCTGCGCCCTGAGAGCCCGTCTGACCATACCACCACCACCAATCACCGCCAGCCAAATTAAAAACAACACGCACTTACAGGAAGAGCTCAGCAAAAAAAAATCCAAGTACAATTTGGACAAGGTTCGTTTTAAACAGGCAGGTAGGATCGAAAAATAAAACTGCAGAAATAATAAAGTTATATTAATGTCGTGCTACAAAATCAAAACAGAAATAATCCTGGGTTATATTAATCCTGTGCTATGAAACAAACCACAGAAAAATTATAATAATACTTCTATTATTATAATATTCATTATTATTATATATTAATTTTTATGATTTATAAAAACGATAACTTCATATTCACCCTGTGATATAGAAGAGCCACAGAAATAACCACATATTAGACAAATCTCTCACCATAAAACAAATCATAGAAATAACTCCAGGCTATATTAATCCTGTGCTATAAAACAATCCACAGAAATAACCGTAGATTATGTTAATCTGGTGCTATAAAATGAACCCTATATATATAACACAAGATTATATTAATCCCATAATATAAAACGAACTGTAGAAATACTCCCAGGTCATATTAATCCCATACTATAAAACACACAGTAGAAATAACCATAGGCTGTACTAATCCCATACTATACAAAACTGTAGTAATAATCCCAGATTATATAAATCCCATACTATAAAATGCAAAGCAGAAATAAACATAGGCTATATTAATCCCATACTATAAACTGAACTGTAGAAATACTCCCAGGTTATATTAATCCCATAGTATAAAACAAACTGCAGTAATAGTCCCAGGTTACATTAATCCTGTGCTATTAAATGAACTGTAGAAATAACCCCATGTTATACTAATCCTGTGAAATCAAACAGTAAAAATAATCCCAGGTTATGTTAATCCAGCGTTATGAAATGAGCCATAGTAATAAACCCAGGTTAAATTAATCTCGTGTGTAAAATGCTATCACATTCTGCTAAAAATGAGTCTTTGCTGTTCTTCTGAAGTTTGGAGGTCCTCAGAGAAGCATTTACTGGTATTCTCCATGGACCAAATCAAGCCGATACACGTGGTCCTACCTTAAGTGCACGACTCTAAACATTATTTGGTTTTTTGACAATATAAAACCCCACAAATCACTGAGGCCCCGTCCAAAACTCCAAAACACACTGGACAATTCTTGAAGTTGGCACGGCACTAGCGCTGCCCGACCTCCTGGAAAGCGGTCACCACATATATCCCCCCCACATTTCCTACCAGGAACGAAAGTGCATTCCACATGTGTGCGCTAATTATTTTCATACAGTCCGCTTGTCAAACAGGCTCACTGGTAAAGCTATTGAAGTGGCTGTTCAAACACACGAGCGCGCATTAAAGGACATCTGAGATGAAGCGGGCAGCCTCAGACTGGCCATCAGGCGTGATTAGTGCTTTCTGGGAGACGCGTTTTTAGCGAGAGAACCGAGACGAGGCTGGCTTGTGGTAGCGAAGTCACAAAGCACTGGTATTTCCTCTGTTCATGACAAGG